AAATCAGAAATAGGAGCCAAAATGTAGGAAAGAAAAAGGAAAGAAAAAGGCTGTACAGGTAGTTGTACAAGATACAACCATAACAGAGTTTGTCCATTATGGTCACAAGTTGTGACAGCCATTAAGTGAAGCATCTCACCTAATGACCCACCATTCCGGCTCTCCCCAGTACAATCATTAAGGAATTACGTGGGCCATTAAGTGGAGTATCAGGTGCGTCAAGAGTAGGGAAGGGCTTTGGAGACCTAACACAAGCCTCCCCTACCCCCGAGGCAACCACTCCCTATTCCTCAGGTTTGCCATGACGGGCTTAGGGCAAAGTAAAAAGGATTATTTTATTCTCCTAAAAAACTTAATTCTTCTGATTCTAAGAAAACGATCCCATATATTGATATGTAATTAATTTTTTAAAAGTTTCTTTATTCTAAAAATGAGAAGATAATGCAATATGCCTCCGTATGGTCCAGATTTAATAAGCTTTAGCAATAAGTTTGGATTAATTTTGCATTATTATATGGTTCCCTTTTTTCTGTTAATTAGCTTTGTTTTAATTTATTTTAATCATTATATTTTGGTTTTCTTTCTGCAACATATAATCACCACCTCTTTTTTGTTGGTGGTGCAGTTATTATTTGCATTTCGCTATTGAAAAAGAAAATTTAATTTTAAAAAGCCCACTCATTTTAATCTGTGAGAATTGTTGGAGGATTGATAAGGTCCTAGAAGTCTGAAAGAAAACAAATGTTTATCTGTATATTCAAAAAGGTGGGGAGGTTCCAGGAAGCTACAGACAGGCAACCTGATATCAATCCTGGGATAGGTTCAGCATGTTTGTGAGAACTTGGGATAGGCAGGCCACAATTAAAAATCAGCATGGGAATTGTAGCAAACAATCTTGGCTAGATTAACTACATCTCCTTCTTTGATAGAATAAGTGGCCCTTTCTCAAATATTCATCATAGGAGAAAAACGAAGCTGGCAAGTCGGAGAATGCTATAAACATATTGTATTTGGTCCTCAACAAAGCCTTTGACAGACTGCTTAATGATGTTCTTAATTAAAATATGGGGTAGATAATAGTGCTAAATGGACTTAACAGTTGGCTAAATGACAATGCCCGAAATGTGTATTGTTAATGGCTTCATTTCATCTTGGAGAGGCATATTCAAATAAAAAGCAATAAAATTCTGTCAGGGATCCTGTGCTGTTCCAAGATTTTTATTAATTATCTAAATGAAAGTAGTGAGAAGACGCTTAGATACAGGTATCCTTGTCAACCAGAAATTAAACATAAGCCAGTAAAGGTAGTCCCCTACTTACAACAGTTCATTTGATGACCATTCAAAGTTACAATGGCACTGAAAAAAGTGACTTATGACCATTTTTCACATAATCGCCATCCTCATGGTCATATAATCAAAATTCAGCCCTTGGCAACTGGCTCATATTTATGACAGTTGCAGTGACCTGGGGTCATGTGATCTCCTTCTGCCATCTTCTAATAAGCAAAGCCAAGGGGAAGACAGATTCACTTAACAACCGTGATACTAATTTAAGAGCTGCAGTGATCCACTTAATAACCATGACAAGAAAGGTCATAAAATGGGACAAAATACACATAATGAATGTTTTGCTTAGCAATAGAAACGTTGGACTCAACTGTGGTCATAAGTCGAGGACTACCTGTATTGTGATGTAGTTGCTAAAAAGGCAAATGGCAAGGGCGCAGATTATGGAAAATAATTGCTGCATTCCATCTATCAGGAGTGCTGTTTCTGGTTCTGTGCAACAGTGTTCAAAGAGAATTGTGACAAATTCAAGCAAGGTGTTGAAGGTTTGAAAACCAAGCCCTATGAGACAAGATTAAGAGGTCTGTGTGTGCTCAGCCTTCAGAAGAGATACCTGAGAAAAGATTGGATAGAGTTTTTAAGTATCTGAAGGGCTGCCACACAGACAGGGAATGGACTGTATTATCCAGTGACCTTGAGGCCAAGATAACTGGGTTAAAATTACAGAAAAGAAGGTCCAACTGCAAGTTCTCCATGATTTATGACAGTGATGGCAAACCTTTTTTGGCTGCCATGCCAAAAGCGGGGGAGCACAGAGGGGTTGTGCGCTGGTGTGCCACACTCATAATGCTATGCATGTGCACAATCAGCGACACCCCCCGCTTTTGCCACAGTTCCCTCCCCCCTGACACCTTCCGGAGGCCTCCTGAGCTTTCCTGAAGCCTCCGGAGGGCAAAAAATGGCCCTACGGGGAACCTGGAAGTTCGGGAATGGTGACTTCTGGTTTGTCTGTAGGGCTGATTTTTGACGTCCGGAGCCTTCAGGCGGCTTCCCTGAAGGCTCCAGAGGGCGAAATACAGACCTACTACAGACAAACCAGAAGTCACCATTCCTGAAGTTCTGGTTTGCCCGTAGGTTCGGTTTTTTATACTTTGGAGGCTTCAGGGAAGCCTCCAGAGGGTGAAAAATGGCCTCAAAAGAGGGCTGAAGTCAGCTGGCCAGTGCGCGCATGCACGCTGGCCAGCTGACAAGGCAACGCCTCGTATGCCCTGACAAATGGTTCCGCGTGCCACAGGTTCGCCATCATAGTTATGAGATAGAAATTGGGTATCGCTGGTCTAGAGAAAGAACGGACTAGGGGTGGCATGATAGCAGTATTGCAGTATTTGAGAGGCTGCAACAAAGAAGAGGGGGTCCACTTATTTTCCAAAGCAAATGAAGGCAGGAAAAGAAATAATGGATGGAAACTAATCAAGGAGAAGCAACCTGGAATTGAGGAGAGACTTCCTAACAGTGAAGACAGTTAACCAATGGAATGGCTTGCCTTCAGAAGTTATAGGTCAGTGATGGTGAACCTATTGCACTCTGGCATGCAGAACCCTCTCTGCAGGCATGCATGTCACCTGGTCTTCGGGTTTCTAGCGCTCTGGCATGTGCGAAGACCAGCTGACCAGTGTACATGAATGCACCGGAAACCCAAAGACCAGGTGGTCTCAGTTTCCGGGGCTCCAGC